AGATGTTTACCATCCCAATGGACGCGGTGCTACGCCTTTGGAGTGCAGGTGCGCATCATTATCAGAAACCAGTGGCATATTCTTCAACGTTGGGATTCAAAAATCTTTAACACTAGAAAGGGCTCACCAAATTTGGCACCGGTAAAGGCACTGCACCAAGCAGTAGCTCATGTCGATCGAACTTGTCGATAACTGCTCGTTCAGAGGATGAACATCATCCAGCACAAGTAATGTCAAATGCCCATGAACGTCGCTTTTTTTGCTTTTCTCCAGTGGTCATCCGAATCGCTATTAAAGTCATCATAATCGTCTTGCTCTGGAAGCTTCTCAGCGAATTCAACTCGATATTGTTAAGCTATACACACGCTGCGCAGGTGGCGAACTGAATTACCTTGCATCAACCAGCGTGTTTTCGAGGGAAAGCAAGTTGATACGCGTGTTTGCACGGTGCCCAGGTCGGACTCCAATTGTCTACCCTGAAATTTATGCGGATTCCTAGACTGAAGGATGAATGGCGCTCTTTCTTAGGTGTAAGTTAACCGCACCATTGATCAGCTGCTCGGGGCCTAACTGCCAAGTGTTCGAACTACTGACAGAGGTCGCGGGTTCGAAACTTCACTGAGTTTCGTGAGATGCGCACTACCGATGGTTCCCAGTAAGGATGAAACAGACGTAGAGTGTTTTTCGGTTTTTCACTGCAAGTTTGTTCCAGTTACGGGACAAATTGCCAAACGTAGGCGATTGTGGGATTTCTAGAGTTCGCATTCACACCACCCGTCCCGACGAAATTATTCTCTTGAGTGCATACCAAATGGTGGAGGTACTGGACTCAATTTTTTACGATTATTGGAGGTCATCAGCCGTGCATATCTTAGGCTATGTGAGGGTTTGATCTCCGGAATTCTGACATGCAAGGTGAGCTTGTTACCTATCCTCCACCAACACGTGCATGACTCACCTGAATTATCAGGTATGAACAGTCGGAAATGTCCATGTTTTTCATAAGTTACTGCCAGTAGATAATCCATTTTCCACCCCTCTCGGTTTACTGTAACTTTTAAGATGCGCATGGCTCTGATGCTCTGGTCTACTCACGCGAAATGAGGTCATTCCAAAATGTTCCGGCTTAAGTTTATTCCGCGCAGGGTATTCGAAGGAAATAGTTGATGAAGTCATTCGTCTAATTGCGATATGGGCGGTGACGATGCGGCCTATGATACACCGGTGCCCGCGAAACTCATCAGTATGTGGTAATGCATAGTGTGACAAGCTACAGCTGTGGCATATAGCTCAGCTCGAAAGCCTGTAATCCCTTACCCTTTTCACTCAACGGTTCATCATGCACTACTTATATTTCCGTGAATTTCTCTTCTCTGCTTAGATATATTCCGTCTTGGCACAAGATGGCTTCTTTATGTCGATTTGGTTGGACTCGTGCGCACAGTCTTTGAACGTGAAAAATTCTGGTCAGTTGAAAGTGAGCATTTATTTGTTATGACCCGCGGCTTTTGCATTCTGTTTTCAATATCGGTAACCTAGCTCTATCGTCGGTATGGCAACCTAATTTCTAAAACGGCTTATCCGGTTTGTCACTTGTGGTTTTACAGCTTTTGCTGACAGCTAGGAACATTCTCAGTTTTCCTCCACAGTGTGAGGAATAATAGACTTGAGCCATTTGGCGAAATTCACTCATCTACGGATTAATTTGGTGTCAACAGGAAACTCAGCTGAATACAGTTCCTCCAAATTGCGAAAACGCTCGTTCTTTTCAGAGTAGTGTACCATACTGAATTTAGTGAAAACCATAAGGAAACTGTCCACAATTTCATTCGTTGTAGCTTTTGCGAGATAAAATGGCCCGTTCGCTCGAATGTAGTCGCAGCAGTCGTGTGACTTGAACCCGGCTCAACGATATACACTAACTCTCGCTGAAACTTCCTTTAATTTCTCCTTGCTTACTTCTCTATTAGTTGATGACGGTACCGGGTGCATCAGCTGTACGGTATGGCGTCACACTGACTTCCCGACTTCATCATCCACCTCTTCTGCCATCCATCCCACTAAAAGCGCTGAATATCACCGTGTCTGTGATCAGTTGTTGCAACTCTCCAACCGTTCACGGCCGACGCTGTCTATGTCTCACAGTGCATTTCAACTTCACTTGGGTGATATGGTTCAAGTGAAAGGCAGGTTAAGGCGGTTCCGTGGACAGCTCAAAGTAAATGTGCATTTTTGCCGTACGTGTTCTCATTACTGATTATTGATTGTTAATACGACGCATGACTATGATCGTCACTATTACAATTATGTTCGTAACAGTAAAGTTCTCAGCTGTAGCAGCCTTTCGGTGCCTACCTGCGGTGCCACCTGAAGGAAGCATGAGGGCTGGGATACTGCCAGGTTTCCCAAGCCTAGACAGGGGAGGTTGGGTGGCAGAGGTCGGGTTCGAACCACGGACCTTACTGACCATCGACCTTATCCAGCTTATTTTTTTTGACTGAGCTCGATCATTCTCCTGTGTTAATCTAGCATAGGTGTTTCTTGTGCTAATTTCGAAACACTTTTGCCCTACTCATCTTGTTCGCTGACAAATACCAATGGATCCTAATGTGAGTGTTTTTTTGAGATTTTCGAGATTATTTTCTGTGGTATATTCTATTGGATCAGTAGCCGTATTCGGACTGCTAAAAACTCATCGCAGTTTGAGTTAGCCTTGCAGTATTCTCTATAACACAATAACCCATGTTCGCGCTCTTCTTGTTGCCAAAGTAAATCTCACATGGTCGTAAAATGCTGTCGATTTATCCGCGTACATAAAATATCTGCATATTACTGTGGGTAGATTAGCTTTGATCTCATTCGTAAGCTAGCGATAATTAGCTAAACTAGCCAGATGAACCGGACTTATCGCCGAACATTTCCCGCAAACTGAAGAAAGGTGGAATCGAATAGATAAGCGCCTCACTTGAATGCTGGGGAAAAGCGATAGCACAGAGGTCTCCCAATGAGGATTGTCTCTAATGGTGCTCTCTCCTATAGTGCAAGGCTGATTTTTCCACCCAACCATACGGTCCCTTGAGTTCAGGTACAAATGCCAGATAGGGACATCCGATTCCGGCAATTTCGATGGGTATTCATGGGCCTGCACGAAAGTAGAGGTTGGGTGAAAATGTCTTCTGGACCGCACGAAAAAATTTGCCATTCATTTTGTGGCACAAGCAGAGCTTTTTCTCCGACTTGAGACATTTAGAAGATACTTGAGAAGGTCGAAGTTTGGTAGTTCTGAAGGTCAAGACTAAGGGGTGCAGAGTGCTTCTTGTTTGTCCACAGACGGACTAAAAACCATCACTCCGTCGATCGTGGTACTACTCTTGCAAAGGAATTGATTAGATAGAGAATACCGGTGATATACAGTATCGGTAACACAGGCAGTCCTTATATTAAATCATATTGGGACGTTATCGCTGTAGTTGAAGCCATGGAAAGGGGTAAAGAGATAGCTCGTACACAAATGCTGAGGATCCATCAGTTTGTTTCCCGTTTTTTTGGTTATGTGCTATACGAGTCCATGGCTAACAATATCTGATGGCACAGTCTAGTGAATTACGGTGTATCCAATGGTAGGTATAAGGAGCGCAATTCAGCTAGAGAGTCCTTTAGTTGGACTAGCTGAGTTGACTACTATCTGTAGTGAAATTAGTTTGAAGTCAGTGCAACCTTAGGATAGTGGACCCCTAGCATCGTTCATTAGTTCCGCTAGAAATACGCCCGATAGAGATAGAGGTACAAAGTAGGGCTGTTCGACACCCCAAACAAACTTCACGCTGTATTCATTGAGGACATGTTTGTCTTTCCACATGAGATAATTCGTGTGCGCTAGTGGGGCAACGATTTGGCTTCGATTATATCTATCACAGTAGTCATGACTCTAACTAACTGGACAAACTGATGTGTGGATATTAGAAGAGTTTGGGACGAAGGTTATGAGAATGGCCTGAACGATCAAACTCCACTTATTCGATGCACTTGAATCCCAAAGTTCTTTGGGACTTAATTTGTCCAGTTGACCGAAAATTGTACAAAAACCTCGCTTTTTCATTTGCCTACTCTGTACGTTTCATGGCTGCACATCGAGTACCAGCAGGTAGAGCGTTCCTTACCCAACTTCAGGGATTTTAGCTTCAATATCGAGATAAAGCCGAAACTACACTTTGTGTTCTCATACACAGCTTAGTCGGACGCATCCGTGACATCAAAACAGCACAAATAAGAGGTTCCTTGTAAAGGCGAGCTGGTAGTAGACTATATGGAAAGGCCTTTTTCGTAGATAGAACCCCTGGAGATGTTAATAGGCAACGTTTATTTGTCCCTTCTGGTGAATGAAGTTTTCCATAGCTAGGTTAGATACGTTGTGTTTTAGTTCGCGCGCTACTTCATCCAGTCTCTTTCTGTCATCTTTGTTTAGGTCTCCTGGACGATCCTGCGGAACAGCTGAAACAGCTGATGCATCGTAATCTACTTATGCATGATGTCTATTCGAAGCCGTACGATCCCGAACTGATTGCGAAGCAAGTGACCAACTCTCATACGGTAAACCACTGTTGAATGCACTGCATTTATCAGCTACAGTTTTCAGTTACTTCTTTAGTGTTACCTCAGTCGTTTTGTCTAACGAAATGGTGGTGCATCAGCACTCGATCGATCGGTTGATTTGTTACGTGTCATTCATGATGCAGTTTGGTGCGTGCTGATTCGCTAAACACGAGCCTCTGTTGCCCTCATGTTGCATGTTAGTCCCTGTAGAAAATTGACCTACTCCCCCCCCCGAAGCTTGTCAAGGGAAATCGGGTCAAAAACTAGATTGGTAATTGATGAAAGAACGCTGAATCGATTCGTTCACAACAGGACGGTATGGCTCAAAGGTGTTCGCATTTTGTGAATAAAAATGAACCATGAACTTCTATGGTTCTTCCCATTCTCCAGCCTTCTGTAGTTCAAACCTCTCGACATAACAAGTCTATCATTTTTTCAATATCATCTGCTCTGGGTCCTATTTTTAATCTGGTGGGATGAGGTTTTGCGCATAAATAAGCATCGGAAGGTGCTCTGATGTCCAGTTTGGGATGTCGTGAAACTCTGGCTATTGAGCGCTCTGTATCCCACATGGAATGAGCTACCGGTTCTAGAATATTCCTCTATGTTTTCGTGCAACGCCTCTGCACATGGAAGTGATTATAACCCAGCCAGCCGACCCATCAGTCAAGCTAAACTATCTAAATGTAGCCGGGACTCGAACTCATTGGCGGGCTTCAATGGTGAGCATGTGGAAGCAATCAGGATTCAGCGAATTCATTTGGGTCAGACAAACGATTGTCGCTAATTCATTTACCGGCTCACCAGAATTCTTCTGCCTTGTAGATCGCAGATGACTGTTCAACCGTATATTAATATACAGCTGTTTGTTTTAGGCGGAATCCCGCCCCAAAAGAGCCGTGTCTCACGCAATGATTCGCTGCAACGGCCAATAAGGTCAATTAGCATGTGATTGGTCAAAAGTACGGGTCGCTTCCGGTCCAGCTTCGAGGCGAGGCCTGGTTGGTCGAAAATGTGAACCCAACAGCCAGTTATACCCCGGCATCCAATAGGTGCCGTTTGCCAATGTCTCGTCCAGAGGACCTCCGACTTTCCGGAACGTTGTCGTTGCGTTCACTGCACACGGGTGTTTGACCTGTATTGGGTTCTGTTGAAAACGTTTTACCTTATGCTCACAAAGCATCACCTTTTCAATCTTTGCACCCAGTCGTTCTTGCTGTTCCCTCTCCCAGGTGAACTGTGCCAGGTCGTTTATTGATGAAGCGCGCCGAATTTTCGAACAAGATTCGCTCACCACTTTCACGAAAGTGGACTTGCTTCTGAATAACCGTCTGACCGAACAGATGTGTGCATTATTAACACCCTTGGTGAGTTGGCATGCCTTTTCTACCACGTCCTCCATGGTTTTATCAGACGTTTATCCTTTTCTGACATTGGTGTTCACTAATAGTGCATCGCATTTCTCAACGAGTCTTCTTATCGGTAACTTACTCCCCGTTGTTTCGTATATCGTTTATTCTTCTGTGCAGTTCTTCGGTAAGAAAAGTGCATTAATGCCTGTTGACTTCATTCTTCGACCGCCGTTCCGGCGTTTACAATATACTCCTGTTTTACCAGAACTCGTTATAGCACCGTCCTTGCTCTCGGACGCCTCCTAACTTCCACCGAAGTTATTTATACTGTAACTCTTATGTCCCCCTGCACTCGTTATCCATCAGCCAACCAACATTTCTAGACTACCGAAACCGCACGCATAACTCCTAATTTCTACCGGACTCGCGTAGCTGCAGTATAGTCTGTCCTACGTTGATACTGTGACTCAGTCATCTGTTGAACCCAGGAACTGGGTGACCTTGTTAATCCTGACCACAGTGCACAACATCAAGTCACTATGTATCAACCTACAGTCGAACACCATTCTAGGAAACCTTACCGACCGCCTTATTCTGAACAGTCCTCTGAATGCCACTTTTTCCAAAAATCATTTTGGCTGGTTCATTTGCATCAGCTTACAGAAAAAGGCTTCCAAGATTCCTTCAGATTCTTTAGGTTTGCACGGGGAAGTGATAACTGAACAGCTCTTGTTTCTTTGATACTGCGAGCGTTACCGAAGTACTTATTAAAACAGAACAGCGGCTTCACCGTCCTACCAATATGCCAAAAGGTAATAGATTCGACCTAGGAACACGATTATAGCCGATCTCATTCCCTTTAACATGTTGACCGACATAAAGCTTGTTGAATATCTCATCATCAGTGCTAATAAGAACTTGTCCAACGAATGATTTTGAGGTACGACTTAGTCTATGCAGTGGAAGAAAGCACCTGAAGCTAGGATACGGCTCTTTGAGGAACAGGATTTCAGCATCCATTTTTGGAAATCAGACAGGAGCCGACAAAGAGCGGACACTTTCAACTAAGTTCTGTAGAAATATTTACTCTATCGAATCTAAGTTGAATTTGGATTCAAGCCATTAAATTAAAAAGTTAACAGCTCGGTTCAGTTTGACAACCGTGTACTTGTGTGCGGTGGTTAGGATTGCTGCAGCTTACCGCAGAGATTTAGGCATCCATTCCTTCGATAATACTGCCATCTGATGTGATGTAGGGTAAATGCCAGTTCATCCATGACCCGGACGTAGCCTTGCCTGGTTTTCGCGACTTCGCCGTTCATGAATACTAGTGAAAGGAAGAAGGCCTTCGCTGCGGAGTTGTTTATTAGGAAATGCCAACTGACCGGTTACAGACCATTGGACAGGGAAGCGAAACTCTCATATGCATCATGTTTACAAAAACTGAATATCCATCTTCTCTTTGAACGCGTCTTTTTGAACTTTCCTGGATATTGATTGACTGTTGCTCAAATGCAAGCAAATGCTACAAAGCGACTCCACAAATTCCGCAATTGATCCTACTTTTCAAGAGAAAACGAATTTACGAGGAAACATACTACTCGCATGCCTCCCCCATCAGTAGCATCACCGTTACACCAGTAGGTCTGTGTAGGTCGATGCCTGTGACTAACCTGGAACAACGGTGACTACACTGATACTTCAGTGATTCTCGCTTTCATATAATGTCTTTTTTAAAGGAGACAGCACTCGATTATGAGTCGAATTTCATTGTACCAGCACTCTGTTGTCCGCACTTCTGTCCCAAGACGGTAGTCGTGAACATCACACGGAATTTCTACGTGGCGTTGGTTGAGGACTATTTCATTGGCAAACGACTCGCTTCCAAATACCACGTTAATTTATGTTAGATCAGGTGGAAAGAAACCACCGTACGAGTTGACAAACATGGCCAGTGATGCTTTCTGTTTGTAGGCATCGCATCGTTTGTGACAGCATGCTTTTTAATGACGGTTTCTCTACCCTCTGTTTGTGTCCTGCCGAAAAGGCCGAGATGGTGGGTAAGACCAACATGAAAATTGCGAGTGAATATAGTTTCGGTCGTCGTCAAAACAGACAATACATCAAGGAATCATTGCCTAAAGGTCTCCTCCCATCGCTTAGAAAACGGTTTGTCCAACCTAAAGAAGAACATAAACCATATTCTATTCAGCTTAATGAAATCTCCGCAATAATCACACTGCGTTTGTTCAGTGGCCTTGCCCGTTTGTACAATCCATGTCTAAACTAAACATCATCATCAATATCAACTGTAAGAACCGCATACTTGTGGTTTTAGCTGCCTGGGGGAAACTTTCTACTGCCCTCGCACTCCTGTCGCAGACGCCTCTTAGCACGATTACTTGTACTATGGGGTATCGCTGCTCTTGGTCTGACTGCTCCCTTTCGGCCTTCCCGGCACGGTCGCATATCTCACCCAGTGTAGCCCGCGGGATCACTGCAGCACTCAAGCCCAACTACCACGTCAAGGTGGCAGCTTTAGGTCGAGGTTTTGGATTAATAGTGGCTGATACTATTTAATTTTCCCGGTCCCATTGAATTCCGAATTCGTTTTGAGCTAAACCTAAACTAAGTCGTACCGCATCGCTGGTAGCAGTTTAGGCGCCGTTCCTGTTCGTTTCTTATAGAGTTGGTGTACTGCATTGTCCGATTACTACAATCCTGAGAGGCTGGTATACGTGACACTTCGGATGAGTTCTTGTATCTACATTTTCGTGGATGGCTTCGCAGTTTGTGTGTGTACTTTTGACGAATAATTCAAGGTTGCATATTTCCACTAAGACAGTCTACCAAGTGTCATCTGTATTTTTCTGGTTATCTTTTGGAACCATGAGCGATGACATTTCGTAGGAAATTTGCCCCTTTGTTTTGAGGGAATTCTGTACTCGTTCCATACAGCTTATTTTCCACGAGTCATGCATCATTCACCAGCTTGTTCTGACACCCCGTTCAGGCATTCAATGTATCGGACGCGGATTGTTTGACAGCGACTTTGAATCTGCCGGATGAATTTACCAATGCGGATCCTAAAAACACTCAGAAATTAGTCGAAAGTTTGATTCAGTGTCTCCTCCGCGAAGGATGGATCTATCCTGCCACGGAACCTATCGGTGGACACGCTGCCTTTCACGTGCGTTTCTTTATTGTTCTCTTTCAACGGCGCCTTTTCGGAGAACACATAGGGGGAGAGATAGCTCAGTGGCTAGAGCAACCTAGCCGTATCCTGGCTCCCGTGCTTCCTTCTGGTGGCATGACAGTCAGGCACAACTACAGCTGTGCTACAGCTTTCTAAAATTATCCTCCTTACTTATCAAGAAACAGCTAAATGGTACATCGAGGCCTCAGTATAAGTTGAGGGGCGAGATGGCTCAAGTGGTTAGATCGCGAATCCACCGACCAGAAGGTCCGTGGTTCGAGCCCGGCCTCTGCCTCTCGATTTCTCCTGTCTAGGCTTGGGCAACCTGGCAGTATCCTAGCCCTCGTGCTTCCTTCGGGAGGCATGACAATTGGGCACTGAAAGGGTGCTATAGCAGTATAAGTTGACGTAACCTCATAGAATAAAATCCGCACTCAATGCTTCGAAATTCCCCCAACATTTTTCTCATTTTTTAGTGTCCGAACGCTTTGAATGAGATGGGCTTTGATAGCATTCCGGTGTTGAACCGTAGTTTTCGTGACATAGCATGGTCAAAGTACAACAGTTTGTTGTAGTGCAACTAGAAAATATGCCATGGTTTTTAAGATATGAGATATTGGAAGTCGTATAGTTCATTTTTCATTTGCAGGCAATAATTTTCCCAATCTCCTCTTGAGTTCGAATGTTCGGGGCTTCCATCTGACATTTCCACATCACCAACAAGATCGGATCCGCCGATCAACAATGGCTTAGCCACTGTTGTAGTAGGTGAGCCACGAACAATTTGTGTCAAGCAGAACGTGAGACCACTTGCTGGCTTCCGATACCGGAAAAATGAGCACTGGTTACCTAACATGCAAAGACTGATTGGAGGCTGCTGACAGACCCAATCATGGAAGCATAACAATCGGCATCAGTCCTCGTACTTCTACAATACTCCTATTTTCCCCGTTTACTCCGGTTTTCCCGGAATCACCATAAAAGTGGCAGATGCCCTTAACGGGCGTCCTATACCATTGATGAA